AAATATATAAATATAAAATATATAAATACAAATACAAATATATTTATATATTTATATGTTGGATGTGAGAGCGCGCTCGAGAGTGAAAGTGTGTGTCAAGTGGGTTTTCAAAATTTGATGTCAAATTTGTGAGCGAGTCTCTTTATATGAATTTGTAATTTAATGATAGAATATAATCTTTATAATTTATTTATAATAATATAGCATATAATCTTTATACACTACTAGAAAAATGGTTAATAGTGACCGAAATTAGTGACCGAAAAATTCAGTTTAATATATTTATAAAAAAATTAAAATTATTTTAATTACTTGAATTGATATTTTAAATTTATATTAATATTTTGGATAATTTAATAGTTAGATATATATTTTAAGTTTATATTAGTTATTTTTATATAAATTGTAAAGATTAAGTAAATTTATTTTAAAATTTAATTAAACATAATAATATAATATACTATTAACCATATTATTAGTTAGAAATTAATTTTAAGTTTTATCATATTTATTTGAAAAATATTTTTTAAAAATTTAAAATAATTAATTAAAATAAAGAAATTTAATTTAATAAATGTGTTAATATTATTAGTTATTAGAAAATTAAATTTATAATAATAATAATTATATAAAATTATAGAATTAATAAATGTTTCGCTTGAGCGAAAATCCCTCGCTCGAGCGAAACGCCCCTGCACAAAATATGATCGGTCATAATTGCATTCTGATCGATCATAATTGAACGATATCATAGCGGTTCCAGGTTAACCGCTATCTAAGTGAGTTTTTAAAAGCGGTTCTGTGTAACCGCTATCTAAAATGTCTTTCGCTTGAGCGACGGTCTTATCGCTCGAGCGAAACGCCCCTGCACAAAATTGGCATTCTCGGGTTGTGTTTCGCTTGAGCGACAATCGTCTCGCTCGAGCGAAACGCCCTCGCACAAAATTATGATCGGTCATAATTGCATTTTGATCGATCATAATTGAACGATATCATAGCGGTTCTAGGTTAACCGCTATCTAAGTGAGCTTTTAAAAGCGGTTCTGTGTAACCGCTATCTAAAATGTCTTTCGCTTGAGCGACAGTCTTCTCGCTCGAGCGAAACGCCCCTGCACAAAATTGGCATTCTCGGGTTGTGTTTCGCTTAAGCGACAATCCTATCGCTCGAGCGAAACGCCCCTGCACATATAAAAATATAAATATATAAATATATTAATATATAAATATATCAATATATAAATATATATAAATATATATATATATATATATACAAATATATCAATATATCAATATTATCCCCTCATATATTAATATATCAATATTATCCCTTCATATATCGGTCATCGAATCGGTCACTAATATCGGTGACCAAGGAAATAGTGATCGATTCCAGTTGGTCACTCGATTCGGTCACTTGAATCGGTCACTGATTCGGTCACTAATTCGGTCAATGAATCGGTCACTTGAATCGGTCACTAAAATATATTTTAATTCCTCACATCCAACATATAAAATATATAAATATATTTGTATTTGTATTTATATATTTTATATTTATATATTTTATATTTATATATTTACATGGATATACATTTTTATTTGTATATAAATATAATTTATGTATAAGTTATTATCGAGAAAATCCTAATAGCTTAGTGGTTGGAGTATCGACCTCCAGACTCTAAGGTACTGGGTTCGAATCTTGCCAGTGACAATTCTCTTAATCTGATAATAAATCAAATTTCTAAAAAATATAAATAATATAATAAATAATAAAAATATAATATAAAAGGGAGAGGAGACCTCTAGATCAATAGATAGGGTAATTGGAGAGGGGTTATGAATAAATAAAATAAATAAAATATATAAAAATATTAGACTTTCCACATCGGTTCCTTAGGAACCGATGTAGAAAGTGTGACTTTCTACATCGGCTGTATCTACATCGGTTCTAGAACCGATGTTAAAAGTCCCTGGGAACCGATGTTAAAAGCCTGTTTTGTACTATTGAGATTTACTTTCTTTTTATTTTCTTTACAAAATTTAATTGTACAAATTGTATATTATTTAACTAGGATTTGGTATAATTGTAAAATATTATAGTTTCCTAGTAACCTAATTAGGTGCACATACTTGTATCTTATAAATAGGATGTACATATTTTATTCATATCGGAGAATGAATATATTTCAATTTATATTTTTCAAGTTAGTTTCGAGTGGCGATGATCCTTTAGATCTTGAATCCTTTAAAACTTCCAAATGGAGGAAAAAAGTTTTATACATTTGGAACCAAGGTAGTTCCTTATATTGTTCAAATTCAAGAAGTTGTCAATATTCTTTCAAAAGATTGTTACAATGACAAAATGAAGATACAAATGTCGAGTTGAAAAATGAGATTTTCACTATCAAACAAAATGAAAGGGTATTTGTACCTAAACAACTAGGAATAATCTTGATAAGATTATTAATAATTTTAATGATATATGGATTATTGATACTAGTACTAGAACTATAAATCATATGACATTTGATTATAGAAAGGTTAACAAAATTAAATCATATACACAAAAATATGTTTCTACTACAAATGGAGATAAATCCTAAATTGTTATGGAAGAATCTTTAAATCTTATCAATACTTTAAATCTTAATTTTGTCTTGATTGTTCGTTTTTTAAATTTAATCTTTTATTTGTTTCACAAATAACAATTGATCTATCTTGTGTGATAAAAGTTGGGTTGACTCATGTGTTCTTAAAGATATCAAAATGGTTATGGTATTAGGAGAGGAAACATATATTAAGTAGACCTGTAAAAAAATATGATGATTCATAACAAGCATCAATTATTGATAACTCTAAGCAGAAAATAAAATATTTGAAATTTGATTATAACATCAATGTCTTAATCATGTCTAATTTGGGTATTTACAAGAATTATTTCCTACTTTATATTAAAAACATGATATTTCTACTTTTAAATGTGATGTTTGTAAATTAGTAAAGAGTCATAAACTATCATTTCAATTAATTTTAAACAAAAACCCTCAACATTTTTTGATGATACATTTTGATGTGTGTGATCCATATAAAATTTAAACTTTAGGTGAATTTCGTTGGTTTGTTACTTTTATTCATGATTGTATAATAATGATTTGGTTATACTTAATTAAAAAAAAAATGAGGTAGGTGTATTTAAAAATTTTCATAAAATGGGGTGGAACTCAATATAACGCTAACAAATTTAGGTTTTACGTAGTGATAACAATGGAGAGTATAAAAATTGTGAACTCGAACAATATTTAGAAGCTAGTGAAATTATTAATTACTTGTCCCAGTGACACCTTAACAAAATGGAGTTGTTGAATTTTTTTATATATATTTATTAGAAGTTTTTCGTACTTTATTAATTAAGACACACATGATATTATGTTATTGGGAAAAAAACTCTTACTTCAACATCATACTCTCTAATGTTCTATTAGTTTTAAGGCTCATTTTGATATACTTCATAACTTAATTGTCACTCCAATTTACCCCTCATGTATTTGGATATGTTTATATTTGTTCATCTTCAAAAGCATCAATGTAGCAAGTTAGCTCTATGGTCCATTTGATGTAGGGTTGCGAAGAGAAAATTTCAACATTTATTAAAAATTGTTTGTGTTTTATTGATTAAGGTACGCATGTCATTATGTTATTGGAAAATATCTCTCTCTTCATTAATGTATTTAATAAATTAGACTCTATACGGTTATACTAGTTTATGTTTTGAATTATGGTTTGAATTGTATAACATGTGCATCCAAAAATCTAAGTAAAAAATGTATTTGATTTGCATTTGCATTTGTGGTGTTTTGAGTTGGTGAATTAAGAATATATATATATATATATATATATATATATATATATATATCTAAAAAACACAATCCAAAAATAAGTTTTGGATAAACTAATCTAAAATGTATTTTCAGATTATATTTTTTAAAAATATATTTTGAATTTAACAAAATCTAAAATTTAATTTTGGACTGTATTTTTTAAAATATATATTTTTTGGAATACACTATTCAAATATATATTATAGATTTTGTTAGAATGTATAATACATTTCTAGAAAATACAATGTTTCAGAAAAAATTTCAAAACCAATTTTCTAAAAAATATAATCCACAGATGTGTTCAAAAAACGTAATGAAGAGTTATTTTTAAAATGAACTTTGTAGAACGTATTTGTATTAGGAATAATATTATCATTTTAGATAATGACGAGGGTATAAAAAAAACGAAAATAAGAAGAAATAACCTATTAGAGGATTACTTGAAGCAACTTCAGTACGTTTTGTTTACGAAATTAACTAATTCTTATGAATCACACGATGGTGCATTTGGAATAATTCTTGAAGGCTGTTTAAAAATTTGGAATAATGAAGGTTTGTTGAGTTTATCCAAAAAATAATATAATAAAAACATTTTTTAAGTCTCTTCAGAACATTCCTAATATTATGATTTGTGTTCATAAAATTTTGTTGAAATAATTTCATAAATGTACTAAAAAAATGTGGAATTAATGTTAAACTTATGTCTTTTACTATTTTTATACTTGAAATTATTTGTCAATAAAAGCTTGATTGTATTAAAGAGAATATCTCTTGCATAACTAAAAAAGAAAGTCTCAGTAAAGATTATTGAGAAACTAAAAGAATAATTATATATATTAACCATATCTATAATTAGCGAAGTGTTAGATAAAATCACCTTTCAACAGCAGAAAAAAAGAACATTACAGGTCAACGAAGGTTAGACCGCAGAAGTCAAAGAAACGGTGTGCCAATTCCAGTGGCTTGCCACGTGGCAAATCCTGATAAGCGAAAGGGTCGTGGCTGCACAGGGGGTTTCTGGTACCCAAAGGAGACTGCACCAGAAGAAATTTTTGGCGTAAGTCTCAACTTTTTTCTGTTCGGAATTTGCTTTGAACGGAGCAAGAATCCAAGAGAAGAATGACGATGATCTGGGTTTGGCATCATCGATTGTTTCTTCTTTGCATTCTTTGTGGCCTCTTTTCTCTGCAGTTCATAAAGGTATCTTCAACCTCATCTGCTTCATACACGAACCATGTAGTTATAAAAACCAATAAGATCCTTTTATGTGTATTTGTCAGTTTTACCAAATTATTGGAAATACCCATTTTTCTTCTAGAGGAGATTTTTCTGAATTTAATTATGGGTTGTTTGGATTGTGTGAATTTGGATTTGGATTATTCTTGGCATAGAATAGAGATCTAGGTGTTTGAGGATTTTTAGTTCTTTCTCTGCACAAATCAATAGGTTCTTGTTGATTTTTCTGCTTGAGGAATGGGAATTGAGCATTGAGTACTGTGTTTCTTGCTCTCATTACGTGATTACCTCATTTTGTTTTTTGCTGGGGACTGTTTTGGATTGCCATAGAATGGAGATGATTGTGTAAGGACTTGGTTTAGTTTCTGGAGCAATTAATGGATTAATTTGTGAATATTTGTACTTGAGAAAAAATGAGAAGTCCACGCTGTGTTTTGTTCTTATTATCTAGCTACCTTCGTTTCAGATGTTAATATTGATAGGATGTTTTTGCATGAATCACCGTAGAAGTAGGAAAATTTTAAATTAATACCGTGAGCCATTTTTTGCAATTATCTTCAGCAGCAAAGTTAGGTCCTGCTTTTGTTTTGTTTATTTTTAGTTCCAATTGCCAAACTTCTGCCTTTTTTACAACTTTCATGAAAGTACAAAAATAAATCTTCAATTGTTTCTGTGTTCAGGGTTATGCAGATTCAAGTGCTGGAAGGTGAGTGAGTCTTAAACTTTGTTAGGAAGTATTTTGGACCAGAAAAATACAATTTTTAGCTATCATTTTCAGAGTTTACTTGCCCCACTTGGTGGTTATCCAATTATTAAGAAGGGAAATGAAATAAATAACTACAATGAAGCATGAGTCGAACATTATAAACTTTTGTTTCATGTCAGTAATTGATATGCTTTGTTTATTTGTTTCCTTCTGTTCCTTTCTTTTGGTCTATCTTTGTGCCTTTCTTGCTTCTTGTTCCAGGATTCAGGAATTGGTTTGGCTAATATATGATGTATCTGTTCAGAATTTTGAATCAGGTGGGTGGTAATCATCAAATACATTGCTCTAGAGAAAGAAGTAGAATAGCTTGGAAGATCATTCAAGAGGTATTGGAATATATCCAAACAAATAACTCTCTTTGATATTAGTGTGAATTCTCCTGATATATGATCTTTGCTGCAGTATTTGATGCCCTTTGTGGATAAAGAAAAATATCACATACCAAAAAGGTGTAGGTTTCATCCTGACAATGACATATACAGAGATCAGGAGCAGCACAAGTTTCATACAGATATAAATGAATGGCAGTGTGGCTATTGTAAGAAAAGTTTTTATGAAGAGAAACATCTCGATCAGCATTTTGACAATAGACACTCCAATTTGCTTAGTTTGGTAAGATGCTTCTTATTCTATGCTATTTTTTTATTCTTCATTATGGAAAAATGTCTAGTTAGTTGATAAAATGACTAATCAAATTTTTGAAAAAGGTATAAATTGGGTTAGACTGAACAAACAGAATATTATCAATCATTATTTAGTTAATGAATGTGATATTGTTATGTTTCATCTGTTAGGAACCAAGAATTAAGCAGAAAAAGAAAATAAATTTTCTTTATTGAATAGAATGAAAAGTACAAGAAATAAGAGTGAACTCTCCTTCAAGGGTTTCCCTTTCACAAATGATTTCTCCTTTTACAAAGAGCTAATGCTCAATTTACAAAAAGTATATGAACCCCCTTCACCTATCCTTCTTACCCTATTTATATCTAAATAACACCTCAAACAACTAACTAACTCATTAATTGGCTAACTATTTTACTAACTTCTCCTTTCCCTTATACCCTAACATCATCTCATAAGGAACGTGGAGTTGTAATGCCAAACTGAGCTTCAGTACTGCTTACCATTGCTGTGAGAACATACTGCTGTGTAATATGCTTGTTTTTTTCCTTGTTTGCATAACATTTAAGAAAATACTCAATTCATGTTCAGGACAAGATAAAGTACTGAATAAAGTTTGTGGGTTGGTAGTAAAACATATTGACATAGTTCACGGAATGAGCCAAACCTTGAGATCTTACTTTCCCAAAAATAACGAAACCTTCAGATCTTTGCTTTTTCTTTCATGTTTTAAAGCTCATAATTTGAGCTGAGTTTCTTCGAGTTCTCTCTCCGTTTTGAGAGTTACCCCCTCTGGACCTAGAAGCACAACAAAATATGTAGTGTTAGGTACCCCTGGTAGTTGTTAGTTAGTCATTTGCCAGTTATATTAGTGACTTAGTTAGTTGGGGTGGGATGATTAATAACGCATGTTGCCTATAAATAGGAAGAGGGGTTGAGAGAAGGAATTAGTTTATCCGTTGGTATATGTCTAGGGAAAGTCTTGGATCTCTCTTAAATATCCAAGGAATTTACTATTCTTTGTGTAGTTTCAGTTATTGGTACTCTACCCACATTGGGGCAGGATTTCGAACTAGGCTTCATCAATAAAGATTTACACTTTTATTCACAATTTCTATCATATAGAAAATAAATACTTTGTTAAGGTTTCAACATAAAACCAATTTGCAATATGTGGAGTAGCCTAACATATATTTAAACCATACCAAATGACATGAGGTAGGCAATGTGAGACTTTCAACACGCCCCCCTCCAACGAAGCCTGCCGGACCAGACAAAGGGTACTTTTGACCCAACTAAAGGGCAACTTTTGACCCATGACAACAACCGGAAAAATGTTAGGCTTTGGCTCTGATACCATGTTGGATTGACTTGTATGGTTGCTTTTGTTCTTTGACTTACCTTGCCAAAGTAAATGACATTTCACAGCACTTTCGTATTTCAGTAAGATGTTATAATGTTTAAGCTTTGCGATTTTTCTAATAATAACTCAAAAGATGAGAATTTTGGAAGCTTTCTCTGCCCAATCTGTGATGCAGTAGCATTAATTACTGAAATGAGAGAGTTGTGTTCAATCCAGAATGAAAGCCAATGCTTAGCAGATGTATGTGGTGCACTGCACTGTGACCATGAAATGAATTCTGGATCAAAAAAATCAAAGTGCAATCCTGCTGCTGCTGCAAAAAATAAACATCTATGTGAGGTGTGCTTTGGTCAGTCCATTCATTTACTGTAAAATGTAATCAAATATATTTGTGTTTCTAATGTACCTTTTTTCATAGAGCTTAGCGGATAGTTGTTTTCCAATTAATGAGGGTCCTGTGACAAGCCGACTTCATGGTATTACGATTTTTTCTTCAAAAGTTGTGTATTTATTGTGAAACTGCTTTCTTATGTGTCAAATTTGACAGAATTGTTCTTGCACCAATTCTGTGATGCACACAGCTGCATTGGAAATAGGAAACCTTTCTCCAGAGGGCGCAGGGTAATTCTGAAATTTATAATTGTTTTTTTTTTTTTTCAAATTTACTTCTTACTTTTGTATGTACTTTTATGGGTGCCTATGATATTTGCCCAACTCTGATATCTTGTCTAAATGATGGTCAATTTTCAGAAATCCTTATTTGTGGTTAAGGATTCAGGAAACACGGAGAATGTAATTTAAAAATTTGTATAGCTAACTGGAAATAAAATTATAAAAGATCCCATGTACTCCTTACAAGGGATCTTACTTTGGATATAGATATCTCAATGAAGGGCAACATGACAGTTGCAATTGCAATTGCAATTCCCTTGAAGTCAAGCTGTAAGGATGAAATTAAGAGAAATTTTTATTAACTGATTTCTTGACGTGTGCAGAAGAAGACAAATGTGTTCTACATATTTGTGTCTATTTTGCTTGTGGTACTGCTGCTATTATATTATCTCTACATTTACTTATATCAGAGGTATTTATTTCAAAACTTCTCACTCCTTATTCTAGGAAACTTTATAATGGCTCCAATTAAGGCTGGTCTTTTGTATTGCAGAGGAATGAAAAGGGAAAATCAAATGCTGAAGCGCATCTCACAAACTAGCAGAAAGAAAAAGCCATCCTAATTGATTCTTCTTTTCACAAAGAAGTTCTCAATCTACATTTTCAGAAAGTAAAGGTCTCACTAATGGATAAAGTGTGAATTGCACGTAAGATCAACCTACATTTTTGACAAAGTTAATCCGTAACGACTGGATAAAGTGTGAACTGCAGTTGAAATCCAGTTTACACCATTTTTCTATCAGCCAGTTTATGTTTGAAAGCAGAAAGGGATTGCAGGAAGAAATTGCTAACTTCAAATGACCTCTATGTGTTTTGCTAATCTGTAAGTCAGATTATTGTAAACTTTGTGCACACAAAGGGGGTTGCATTACTGAATCCGCCTTGCTTGGCTATTTGTATTTGATTGTGCATGACATCACTAACAAGAGAAATGGCATTAACCTTTGGAATTTATTCTCTGAATTTGTTTACTGACTTCATCGGGATTTATTGAGTAAACCTTTTTGTATCATCTACAGTGATTTACTTTTTATTTTATTTTTATTTTGAGATATTCCTATGAAATTATATGTCAGCATGGTTGCGTAGAGGGAATAAGGTTCATTTTATCCTTCATGTCAGAAATTAGATGGCAAAAACTGAATGTAGCGGTGAACAAACTTTATTTTGAGCTTAGAGTTACTGTACATCTATCTTAATTATTTTTGTAGAGTGGGTTTAGGAATTTTTTCATGAAGAATTCCATCTTTGACCTGTGCCTTAATTTTATCACACTCAATGTTTTCTGGGAGGGCTGTCCTGTGGTTATATCTACCATAGCTATTGGCAGGCTAATCTTCTTCATGTTTTGTACTTGATTCTTCATAACTGCTTGCTTGTCCTTCATGGTGTTCTAAGGGTCTTCACCACCAGCATGTTTTATTCTATCCATACCTTGACATCATTCTTGTTCATTCCTGGCATATTGAATCTCATTCTGTAATCTTTCTAGCCTTCCTTTATTTCCCAAGGAATCCTTCCCTTAATGTATTCATCATCTCCTGAAACTATCCAAGGTGAAGTGCTACCATAAACCGAGGGATCCTCCACCATCCTCTCCATTTTGACCATCATTTGCTGCACAGTCCTTGCTACTGGAAACTGGTTCAACAGCACTTCATAAAGAGAAACCAGTGGTCATTGTCACTATGTTCAATTGTCACTATGTTCAGTGTCTGACGAAGGAATTAAAAGAAATTATGAACGTTAATCTTGAATTACCTTTAGGTGAAGCTTTTAGCACCTTCATCTTTGATTGCAGTTGCTGCTGCTGCTTTTGCAAACTTGCTTCACCTCCTGCCTTAGCCTTTACATTGTTGCAGAAAGTTCTATACCTTGTGCTTGACAATGGTGGCAATTTGACACTGGAAAATTTGTTTATTCTACTGGGTGAAGTGTAGGCATGAAAACTAATATTTGGTACTACAATTGACACCATGGTTCTTTTAGGAAAAGATGCTAGAGGGATATTAAATCTATGGCAAGGCAAGGACATTGAGAAGCTGATGTTTGCATTTAAATTTATAGGATGCATTGGACGTTTCTGAACCCAGATAAGCTTTAAAAAATCTGATATTTTATGATAGTGACTTCAATTCTAGGTAGATCTGAAGTTCTCCACACAATTCTTTAGCAGGTATCATATTTCCATATTTTGATGGGGATTTAGAAGCATATTCCAAATTCCAATTTTTTTGTCCTTATGGAGCTTACATCTAATTAGGGAATTGTTGCGAAGTCCGCGACCCACTTTTGTTATCCTTTCCTTATTTTTTTTCTACAGAAAAAGAGTAATATTGCTCACTTTCTGGCTGTTTAGGTGTAAAATAAACTATACTTAGTCGAAAGGTTTGTAGATATAAAATAAAAGTAGATACATTTTATCAATAATTCTATTTAAGTATTTTATATATATTTAATATATTTTTTTAATTAATTATTAATATTTAATATAGTTTTTAAAAAAAGAAATAAATATCTCTAAATCTAATTTATTGCTTAAATGATATATTTAACTAATTATTTCTTTACTTTTACATAAATGGTAAATTAAAAAATTATAAAATCAAAATTGAAGATAATTCTTGAAAGTTAATCAAAGTCTTTCGAGAGTTCATTGAAGTCAATTGAAGAAAAATTCGTTGAATAAGTTTATTATTGAGAATTCATCGAAGTCATTCACAAGAATTCACGAAAGTCAACTCTTAAGAGTTCATTTCAAAATTGAAACTATTTATTGATTGAGCGTACAATCATTGAGCGGAATGCGTCGATTTTTATATTGCAAAACCTTCCATGTTATGTAATTGATTGATTATGAGTCTTAAATGGCCTTGATAATTATGTGCACTAGTTTGTTGTATATATAGGCTTTAGAAGACAAAAAAAAAAAAAGCTAAGTTGAAGTTAAGTAAGCTAAGTTGAAGTTAAACAAGTTAAGTTCAAGTTATGTTTTCATAGTTTTAGATTTTGAATTCTCTTTAGTTTTCTCACTTTATGATGCTTAGCTTCCAAATCTATACATAGAGTTTCTTCTACGAATAATGGTTTGAAGATTATCAATTCAAGTTTTTTTTTATTAGACTTGTTTCATTTCTCTCTATTTTCATTTATGTTTTCATCTTCTTCTATTTTTTTTGCTATTTTTGTTTTCGTGTATTTTTTTATTTTTCACTTCGCGATCATGTTCTAATTCGTTTTTGTTGTTTCACCAATTAAAACTTAATTTCTATGGTTTAGATTTTATTCTTATTGATTCTAACTAAGTATAATCTATTATAATAAATGTAATTAATGTTATTTGATTGATCTGTCTTATTAATATCGAATTCAATTTCTAGGTTTAAATAATTGTTTGATTTAGAACTTGAATTGTATTTACGAATTTTAATTAGATTGTTATCGTTTGAAATTATTATGAATTTGCTTTTGTAATTGCAAGACAAATTTTAAAAATCTATGATAATCATAAAATTGAGTTTATAATTAGATAATCGACACAATTTTTCTATCAAGTCTCTTCTCTACCTTTAATCAATTACACTTTAATTCTCATTTCAATTTTATTCTTACTTGAATTCTATTTTTCAATGGTTCTTTAAGTTCTTTACAACTTTGTAATTATAGATTCAACACAATTTTTATTTTCAATAGAATAATTTTATAAGCTTTCTTTTACTTTCGATGCATTTTCAGTTTTCGATTATTATTTTCCTTTATCGCTTCCTAGTATATATTCAATGATTTCATTTATAAGTCTTCCATTACTATTTTTAATAGATTAATTAACTATTTTACATTTAATTTTCGTACATCAAAATCTAAAAATCTATGTAATTTCTAACATTTGATAATTGAAAATTAAGATTTGAATAAAATCAACTAACTCTTCTTGAAACACGACCTAAGTCAGTCCTAATATTACATTAATTTTCTTACAAATTCTTTAATAAAATTTAACAAAAATTCATTTATCAATGTCCAAATTATATATTAATATTTAGTGATAATTTCTTTATTAATAGTTGATTTATTACGAGAAAGTTATAATTTATTCTCATCTATTTGAAATACTTAAAATAGATATATTTAAAAAAATTAAAAAGAGATATTTGGAGTTGAAGTTTGATATTCTCTATAACTCTTCAATAGTATTTAGAAATTAATAATTATAAAGAATTATGATGTAATTTTAAAAAAATTACATTAAAATTACGAGTAAAATTATAATTAATCCTGAAAGCTATACAAGGTGTCATTCCCATATTTTAAAATAGTGTATCCTTCAAACTAATTATATTTAGTACGTTTAAAATAACTTACTTTAAAGAAATACTCACTTTTTTTTGTTAGGTTCTTGATAGAAAATAATAATAAAATTATTACTTTTTATATAATTATTAAAAAAAAAAAAAAACTCATACCTTTTCTCCTCCCAGTGTTGTTCATTGGGTATAGTAAAGTTTATAATACACCTTAGCTGAAAGATGAGTATTATGAGGGTTTGCACAATGAGCAAGTATGAGGAAGAAAAATGATTTTTTCATTAAAGATCATAGTATATTTCAGAGCACTTCGCAGGTAAGTCAAAAGAATGGTAAAAATTACAAAATTTAATATAGGAATATGGCTAACCAAAATATTGAAAGAAAAATAAGGTATAATAATTCAAATACAATAAGATAAAAAAAAAGGAATCAAGAGCACTATACAGAAAATAATTTGCATGCAAAGCCTTCATTTATTTACCTCTCTTCTCCAAATACCCATAATTCACCATTCATTCAACTCAAAACTTTCATCTTTACAGATTTTACTTTCAACAAATGAAGCTATCAGTGTAGGTTGATATTTGACTGTTGCCACCAGATCTCAAACTATAATTGGGTGAGTGAACTGAAGTCTGGATCATTTCATTCCTCTTGGATCCCTATTTAGTCCATATTTCTTCAAAGTTTTGATGTAAGTTCTCATAAGGGTAAACTTGTTGCTCCCTAGATGATAGAAATAGTCCCAGGAATAAATGCCAGTCTTATACAAGTCATCAAAATTGAGCCTGGACCATCCAATGCAACGATCATGAATCACATTCTAGTTTAGACGGGCAATTAAATATGGACTCTGAAATTTAGATCTAATGTCGAAGCTTGTAGTCATACCTCACTCCATAGTTTCCCACTGGTTCTGCAGACATGATTCCCACGTGACGCCTCCCAGATATCACCTAGTTCAAGGAAGTCATTCATCAAAGGAAATATAATTAGAAAGCGAATCAACAAAATTCAATTCAAAACCCAAAATCAATTATATTAGAAAGGACATTGTTACTGGGCACAATTGGATAAATAACTTAAGTGCTTATAAAATAAGATACTATTTGGATAAATTTCTTCATCGCACTAGAAGAAAAACAAGAAGGAAAAATGAATTAACTAATGGATTTCAACTTCATAGAAATTCTTGTTGGGTAGTCCAAATAACGTTCAATAAAAATGAGAATAAAAATGAGAAAATTAAACAGACAACCTAATACCTTAAGATTTTAGGTTAAAGGTAATGTCAATTCTTTATGTAAATTGGATTCATGTTTCATTGGTATATCGGAGCCAATGGTTTGTGTAATGATTGATAGTTTAAGAATGATCCTTCCATCGAACGTAGAGGAGATTGTTAAAAAATCCAAATATGAGTCTATTGGTATTGTTTTTTTCTTGTGATCTAAATCTTTTATGTGAATTGCGTTCATTCCTCATTGATGTTGTCTTTTTCCAATAAATCCCTTTGAACTTGAAATGCATAACTTATTTAAGTTATGAAAAGTGTTTGATCTTTTATTTTCATTTCTGTAGGGGTTCTTTAGTACTGTTATTGTAAAACTTGAAATGCATAGGTTGATTTAAGTTATGGACAGTGTTTGATCTTTTATTTTCATTTCTGTAGGGGTGCTTATGAAGAGATTGATCCAATCCAGGACTTATCACACTATCACTTATGCGTAAATAGTTTCGATAATTAAAAAGAAGATACGATTAAACTTCTTTCGTATAAGTTGTAGTTTTTATTGAAATAATCTGAAAACAAACACAATACCAAATATGTTGAAAAAAAAAAAAAAAAACTTTCGCAAACACAACCTAATTCAACCATTAATTTTTAAAAGTTGAGAAGCTCCCAAAAGTTGCAACAAGTATTACCTTTTCACCGCCAATTGACCTAATCTTCCCATCAACTGCAGGACTATTTATTCTGAGAAATTCAGCCGACAGTTTGAAGATTCTACCATCGTCAAATTCCACCTCTACCTGAAACAACAACAAAATTAAAAAAAAAATGAAAACATGCTTCGAGGAGACCTCTTTTCCATCAACAACTCTATTTACCAGTAAAGAATTCAGACCTTGCAAAACACCTGAATTTTTTTCATTAATTGATACATGCTCAAAAGATATTAACCCTATCTATTACAACCTAAACATGAGTAATTTTAGTAAATTAAATAAATTAAAAAAAAAGGTAAAGAGAGCATACAGAAAATAATTAACTAACGTGTTTTGGAGCATGAAGTGAGAATCTGGTGAGACGTGCAGCTTTTCCAGCCACTGTGGTCATTCTCCGAATCGCAGCCAGCATAGTCGGAAGGTAGTTCTCAAAACAGAGGTTTTATGCAGTGTAATGATTTGCTGTCACTGAAAGTTATATAGTAAGAGTTTAATACTTATATATTTTTTATGAATATTAATATATATTATATAACTTTTAAATGATTATTATGAATATATATATATATATATATATATATATATATATATATATATATATTGAATTGCATATTTTTATTAATGTTTAGCCTTTAGAATTTTAATCCAACTCATTTAATTACTTTCATTTTTTTATTACCTTCTCATATTTTAATATGTATCATAAGTAGATTTTTTTTTAAAAAAAATTGATTGCTCTGGTAATAAATTAATAAATGACTAGATCCAAATAATTTCTATCATAATCATGTTAGTTGGATGTGAATTGAAAATACAAACTAGAAAAAAAAAACTAATTGAGTTATTAAATTGCATGAAGTGTAGTAAAAAACAACTGTATACGTTTTGGACTAATCATGTATGTTTCATTCACATGTAATTTCTCTTGATTTATTTCATTTGTGAAAAATATATACCAACTGCAAACAAGGGTTTGGTCATATACCACCATTCAATGAAATAAGACCCCTTTTACTCTCTCTGGATTTAATACCAAGTGGTTCAATTTGTAACATAACTAAATTTAATCTCTCCATCGATTTTCTTTTACATAAAACTCATATATTGGTATTCTTTTATACAATAATACTTTTTTAAATTGGTAAATAAGAATTCTAGTGAAAATTTATAAAATCTAGGGAAATGATAGAATGTGAGATTAGGTAAACAAATTTAAATAAAAAATAAGGAAGGAATAACAAAAGCGTAAACAAAAAACTCAATACAAAATACACAAATATATAACATTTTTGAAGCAAGCAACTACTCAGACTCGGATAATAATTAACTGTGCATAATTATAAATCCATCAGCACAAACCAAAAACAAAACCCTGTTAGCCAATGAAGAATGAATATTAAAGCAAAGATTTTAAATGTTACATAAATATTCACTTAATTCTACGTTAAGAAAAAGCTAAACACAATTTCTTATAAATCTTGATCCATAGTAGAATGGCAAACAATTCCTAAACAAGAACAAAAAATGACAAATTTTATTTTTTTTAACTAAAAGCTCATGGCAAATCAAATTGGGGAGGATCAGAATTTGAAATGATGAAATTATCCCAAAAAGAGAGGTTTTTCTAAACCGTGATAAGATTAGAAAATCTAAGTGGAAATTAGAATAAATAATAAGAGAAAGAGAGAGAGGATAGGGAAGGGACTGAAAACAGGATAGTGAGGTGCAGATCCAATAGAAAGAGAAAGGAAGACACCATAGTGAAGTGCAGGACCAAAGGCGTTGCCAAAATGCTGTCAAAAAACAATACAAGAGGATTAAGAGGCGTGTGAAAATTGAATTAGGAGTTACCCTTCATTTATTTTTTTTATTACACTTTTATCTATGCCATAAACAAGTTAAGTATTTTGGGTTTTATTCTTATGTAATAATTATTTATGCTAATACAAAATTATAGACAATATAGGGTTATAATATCTGAATTTAAAATAAAGATTTCGATTATTACATGTTTAGCTAAATTTATTATATAAATTTTAGCTAATAATAATTTAATTTAATATTAAAAATGGATTAAAACAATAATTCGATTTCTTTATTAAAATTTTTATTCAATAAGACAATAATTTATAAATTAAGAAAATATCATAATCTGATATAAAAATAATTAAAAGTAAAACATAAAAAAAAAAAGCAACAAATCAAATCCAGCGCTTTTGCCTCTCTTGAAAATAATTTATAAATTAAAAAAATTGAATGATTGAAGAAAAGAGCCATTACAATTTTCTTACCAAAACGCTCTAGCGACGGGAAAGCGGCCACTAGTCACAAAGCTCAAAGAAGGTATCGATAGGGCTATCACAGTCAGGTGCGAAGCGATTACCCCCTATTTGTAAAGTACCCCTCTTCCTATTTAGGGGGTTGAGGCGAGAAATGGCTTGATGAACCGTTCCGTGAAGTATTCACCCACAAGTGTGTATCCCCACCAATTCTTTTTGCCCATGCCACCAACAATCCGAATAAGTAGGTAATTCCAAAAAACATGACTGAATTAGACCAACTATTGCACTGCTCCAGATGAATTCTTGAGACATCGGAAGTATTAATTACTAAGTCACAACGTATGTTACAGCAAACAGCTGAAAAACACAACGGTACCGTAACCAAGCGCTTAGGAAACTGCTGCCACCAAGGTGATACTTGCGGCAGATTTCCTTCCAGGAGAATGGCTTCTCCAGTCCCTTCAATTGATTGCAATGCATCCGGAAGAGGATCGTCGACCAATGCTCGTAATTTAGAAGAACCTGATTTAAGGGATTCCCTAACTTTCCTGAGTTCAGTAGCAGAAACAGAATCATGTTTGCTCCATGATTTTACTGACTCCACTTCTTCAGAATACCAACCACAACAAAACCCTCTTCCCCTTTCGTTAAACCCTTCGACATCGCCGCAATCGATTCCGAAAACGAAGGACTCATCGACTCCCATGCTTCTTTCAAAAACGCTCTCACCTCGTTCATTGCCTCTCTCCTGCTATTCGAATCATAAACTCTAATATCTCAAGCACCGCTCTGTGTAATTCAAGTGGTAGTGGAATCACTCAAATCAATATTTATGGTGCGAGATAATAATTAATTTATGATTATTATCTTTAATTATTTTTTAGTTATTCTCCTTAATTGTGATTATTCTATTATTTTTATTTGTATATGTAATTTTTGGTTAACTCATGGAATAAACAATAAACAAGATGAATTTCTTTTTTATTTTAACTTTTTATTATTGGTTTATTATGGTAAGAATTCTATTAATGGCTAAAGAGTCCCTCCGTTGTCCTTGTTTCACTGTCATTCATCGACGAAATTATCACAATTGGTCCTGTGAATGAAAATGAAAATGAGTCTGTGGAACAAAAACAAGTTCGGGTTCGTTGACGGCACGATTGCAGAACCACCAAAGAGTCGTGCAATTTTTCTTTTTGGGAATTAGGCAACATGCTTGTTCTTAGTTGGTTGATAAAATCCAAGAGCGTGAGAATTGTGCAATCCATTCTTTGGCATAAGAAGGCATCTGACGTATGGAAGGAGCTCCGTAAGCGTTTTCCCCCTGCCGACCTGTTCCGAATCTCATAAATTCAAGAGAAAATCTCCAAGGTGATAATTCTATCTCATAGTGTGACACTTCACTAAAAACCCTATGGGATGAATTAGATGTTTTGGATTCCCTTGTTCATACAATCCTAAATGTTCACGTGGTGCAATCAAGAAAATTGAAGGGAGCGGAATAAGAATCAAAGTGGTAAGATTATTGGGAGGATTGAATAACTAATATTCGAGTGTTAGATCACAACTATGCTCTCATACAGTCTTCTCAATGCTAATCAAGTTTTTGCATTTATTGCTCAACAAGAATGATAGTTTGCCAGGGAAGATGCTTCTATGCCAAAGACTCTCATTGCGGCTAGTAATGAAGCATCAAATTCTAAGAAAACTAGAGGGAATGACAATGAGTGGAAAAATAAATGTAATTTTAAGAAATGTTCGTGAAAAATTAGGCCACGTAGTTGACGTTTGTTATAAGAAATACGGTTTCTCTGCTGGCTTCAAGTTCAAACATTCTAAAAATACTACCTAAAGATTCTGCAAATGTGGTGATGACGGAAGAAAATGAGACCAGCTGTCCAGAAGATTCATCCGGATACTGATTTGAAATTTGGTTTTACTACAGGCTAATATCAGAGTTTATTATCTCTACTATCATAGAAAGATGAGGGACACTGGTGCCACGAACCATATCTCAAATTCTCTCAATTACTTTGTTGCTTACAAGCACATACCACCTATCAAGGTGTTTATACCCAATGGAATCTTAGTTTCAACCACTATTTTGGCACAATTTATCTTTCATCTAGTTTTGTTTTGACTGATGCTTTATTTATACTAAGCTTCAAATTCAACCTAATATCAATTACAAAATTAACCCAAACTTTTCATTGTAAACTGACATTCTTTGATAACACTTGCTTGATATAAGATTCTAATGCTTGCAAGATGATTGACATAACTAAAGCACACAGAGACCTATACATTTTTCACACAAATAATCGAGTCTCCTTAATCCTTTGTTATCCATAACAAACTCTCTAATTCTGTTTACAACACCATTTTAGAAATTTTTCTTCTAGTTTGCACAATTTGTGACACTATAGGTTGGGTCATCCATATTTTGATAGAAGTCAAATGATCAACAAAATGTTTCCTTTCATTCATTGTAATAAAAATCATATTTGTGATATATGTCATATTGCTAAACAAAGAAAGTTGAGTTTTCCATTAAGTTCTTCCTTCACCAATGCAATATTTAAGTTATTACATGTGGATAGTTGGGGTCCATTTTTTGTAATGCCCTTACATGGTCACTCTTATTTCCTTAAAATAGTGGATAGACACACATGGATTTAGCTGCTAAAGAATAAGACAAAAGTTAGACCTTTTTTAATTCAAGCTTTTTGTACACTAGTAGAAAACCAATTTCAAACCACAATTAAAACCATTAGAATGGACAATGGTAAGGAGTTTAAACTTGACCAATTTTATGCTACAAAAGGAATAGTTCATCAAACAAGTTGTGTAGAAACTCCTTAACAAAACTCCATGGTAGAAAGAAAACATTAACATATTCTTAATATTGTTAGAGCCTTATTATTTCAAGCTAATCTTCCCAACATATTTTGGTCTTATGCACTCGTTTATCTCATTAGCAGAATCCCTACACCAATCTTGGATAACAAGTATCCTTATTAGCTCTTATATAAATGTCTTCCAGACCTAACTCAGTTCAAGGTCTTTGGTTCACTTTGTTCTCCTCCACACTCGTTAGTCATAAGACAAAATTTGATCCTAGAGCCACAAGGTGTATTTTTCAAGGTTATAAAAGTGAAACAAAAGATTATATTGTGTATGATATCAAGATTAGAGAGTTGTCAATATCTCAAAATGTTGTCTTCCATGAAAACATTTTTCCATATCAATTGAAGTCATCTACCAACACTACTTCCAATTTTAACATTCTATTATCAATCTTTCTTCCTATGGAACCTTTTCATTATATTGCACAAACTGAGTCAGAACATGAAACACCACAAAATTTCCTTCCTAACAGCCAAATAGAAGAAACAACAGACACACCACTTAATCTCATACCTGTACCACAATGTTCAACTAAGAGAATTAAAAAGCCTCCTTCATATTTGTAGGAATATCATTACAACCTCACTACTGCCACTATTGTGCCACATCACTCTTCAAGTAAAGATAACCAATATCCTCTTTCCCAAGTGCTTTCCTATAATCATTTGACACCTCCATATCGATCCTTTATTATGAATATCACCACTGTACTTGAACCCACCAAATATTTAGAGACTGTCAAATATGAATGTTGGAGGACAATTATGGATAAAGAGCTAGAGGCATTGGCAAGAAACAATACTTGAATCTTGGTTGATAAACCATCTGACAAAAACCTCGTTGGGTGCAAATGAGTCTACAAAGTCAAGTACAAACAAGATGGGATAGTTGCACGATAGAAAGTAAGGCTAGTTGTAAAGGGATACACTCAAATAGAAGGTACTGATTTCATGGATATGTTTTTCCCCTTGCAAAGGTGACCACTCTAAGAGTTATATTGGCTTTGTCCTCCTCCAAAAACTAGTTTCTACATCAATTAGATGTAAATAATGTTTTCTTACATGCAAATCTAGAAGAAGAAATATATATTACTTTACTGCAAGGTTACAAACTTATAAGCCTAACCTGGTTTTTTTATTAAGAAAATCTCTCTATGGATTAAAGCAAGCTAGCTACTAGTGGTTCAATACTATTTCATGTGCTTTGTAGGATCTTGGTTATTCTCAAAGTCAAGTTGATCACATATTATATATAAAGAAGACAGAAAAATCCTTTACAATTTTGCCAATATAGGTTGATGATATATTGTTGGCAGGAAATGACATTTCTAAGATCAATAAAGTCAAGCATTCCCTTCATGCACAGTTTCACATTAAGGATCTTGGAGAAGCCAAGTTTTTTTTTTAGGTTTAGAAATTGCACGGTCCTCTAAAGGCATAATAGTTAATCAGTGCAAATATGCTTTGGAACTTTCAGGCTCTAGCCTTCTTTATTGTAAGGCAACAACAACACCTATGGATAGCTTAGGCAAGTTGGGAAGGACTACTGGGGAACCACTCTCTGATGTCAACTCCTATAGAAGATTAATAGGGAGACTCCTTTATCTTACTATAACAAGGGCGAACATAGCTTTTGTGGTGAATCAACTTAGTGAATTCTTATTTGTTCTCACTGATTTACATCAAGTAGCTGCTCATAGGGTCCTTCACTATATCAAAGGATCACCTAGATGTGGACTTTTCTATCCTTCATCAAACACTCACAAGCTCACAACATACCGTGACTTTGACTAGGTTGGTTGCATTGACTCTAGAAAATCAATTACTAGGCATTGTTAATACCTTGGTTCCTCTTTAATCTCATGGTGATCCAAGAAGCAAAGTATTGTGGAAAAGTCCTTGTGTGAAGCTAAATATCATGCACTTGTAGCAACAGTGTGTGAAATATAATGGATCTCATACTTCCTACGAGATTTTCAAGTTGTTGAGTCTTCTCCCGTATCACTCTTTTGTGATAACTGCTCGACAATCCATATTTCTCATAATACTAGCTTCCATGAGCGCACAAAACATATTGAGTTGGAGTGTCACATTATTCGGGAAAAGCTCAACCAAGGCCTTATTCATCTTCTTCTTGTCCCTTCAACATAATGATTAGCATACATATACACAAAACCTTTGACACTCACAATTTCGGTCTATTTTTTTACAAACTAAAAATGATTAATATACATTCTCAAATAAAAATTATTAATATACATTCTCCAATTTGAGAGAGGTTAATACAAGTGATGGTCAAGAGAATGATTAACATACATTCTCTTATTTGAGAGAGGTTAATACAAATGATAATGGAGTCAATCAAATAAATAATTAGTATAATATCAAATAATTGTTAATTATGATTATTATCTTTACTTATTTATTGATTATTCTACTTAATTATTGATTATTCTATTTTCTTGTTTTTAAGCTATTTTAGCTATTATTACTTGTTTCTATTTTTTCATTTTTGAATCAAGTATATATTAACTCTTGGTTGATGAATAAGATGAATTCGCTTTTTAATCTTAACTTTCCATTTTCAATTCATTATTGCATCATCATGCCAACACAACAACTTTTCGGTCATTAGCTTGTCTTGACTTGCTTCCAACGCTGTCACGCAACTACGCCATATCTGCCTCAGGGACCCGTAGAAATCTTGGTGGGGCCACTGGGGGCAGGGACGAGGCACTTGGCAGTCCACTCGATCGCGATGACGAGCCGTAATGCATTGGATGAAATGGCGCTAACATGGTCTTTGAAAGGTGAGGGAATTAGTGCCGGATAGAGGAAGCGCGATAAGTGTCAAAGATACACTTGGTGTTGGTCTTGGGTTTGAGGAAATAGAAGGCATATCGGATCTTCTGCTCGGAGGAGGAAAAGAAGGGAGGGGAGAGGCAGAGTTGGGGTGCGAAGAAAGGTAGGTGCTATGGCGTATGGATTTTTGGAAAAGATAGGATCTTACTTTTAGACACAATTTAAAGGAGCCCAAAGCGCGCTTACATTTTGAAAATTGGCACAAAACAATGCAAAGCAAGTAGGTAGAAGACGAGCAAGTAGAGGAATAATGAGAAATGCACCTGATTTACTATTAAGTGGTAAAAAGTTAATATAATTATGCTTTGAATTGTTATGAAATCACTTAACTTATGTTAATTTTAATCTATTTTTCTCCCAATATAGGATGAATTCGATAATACCTTGATACAAGAGTAAGGAGCATAATTATCAACATAATTGGAGCAAAACTGAAAGGAGGAAGAAGATTTTCAGCATGAAAGTCGCTCGAGCGAGATAGACTCTCGCTTGAACGAATATCAGTTAAAACTCTATCTAGAAGTCAGTCGCTCAAGCGCCATTAATTTTGTTTGAGCGAATGTTAGTTATTCTTCTCTGAAGCTCACTCGCTCAAGCGAACAATTTCTCGCTTGAGCGAAAATAAGGAACTTTCGCTTAAGCGAGCGTTGTCGCTTGAGCAAAAGACGCGAAACCCAATTTTTTTTATAAAAAGATAAGACGTATTTTGAGAAAAGTAAGCGGTTTTGGGGAGAAGAGGCGCGACTACTGCTAGGGTTTCACCCAATCTTCATCAATTCTTCACTTCTTCCACATTTGGAGCATTGTAATGACCAACATGAGTGACTAACTTCATTATCTTGGGATTTGGTGCACTTCCTTTGAACTCTTTTGTATCATGGTGATATTTTGAGATATTAATCTATGTTTTGATGTTATTATTCTTATATTTTGTGCTTTGGAATGATTTATTATTGATGTTTGGGGTATGATTGAAAAATATATCTTGAACCCTAGATCCCGATAAGAATATTTGTTACGTTAATTGTCAAGAATGAAATGGATGTATCAATTGCTTAACACCCTAACCCTAATGCTGGAAAATCTCTTAATTATGTGCGAAATCAATATTTATTAGGTTTTCTTATAAATTTCATGTGTGAGAAATCAACATGGATGAATTACGTAGGTGGCATCAACATTGTTAGGTTAATTGATGTTCTTAATTGACATAGCCATTGCAAAAGAGGGATAAGGAAGAAAGTCAATCCTAAGTGTCTTTAATTGATATTTTCTAAACAATTTACAGTTCTTGATATTTAATTTCAATTCAACTCTTTATGCAAAACCCACTTTGTTTAATCTACTTAGTAAGCATATAATTGAGAATTTCTATTGAAACCGTTCCTCGTGAGATCAACTTTTATTTAATCGAAATACTATACTGCAATTGATAAATTTGGTACGCTTGTCAATAATTCAACATTTACCATATCCCTTTTCTTTTATGTGTGCCCACTCTCTTCTTCGTGTTTTTCTTTCCTATACGGTTGGTTTTTTTTTCCTTCTCACCTCTTAGGCGCCCCTTCTTTATGTAATATTTTTTTAGGTTCAATGTAGGATAAGGTGTTCCCTTAGATTCTATTTGCTTCTACAGATACATTATAGATGAAGAATTATGGGGATGGATTTGAGATGAAGCACCCCCATTTGCATATACAAATTTTGCGCTAATTTGGGGTGATGAGGAGGTGGGGCTCATCCACCTACAATCCCACCCAACCCCTTGAAGAATTGGTGAGAAAGGTGGGGGTTAAGAGGAAAAATGTCTCATTTGCCCTCAATGCCACTGAATTTGTGCATGTTGGGATGATTTAGGGAACCAACATGTAAATACCTAATAAAGAGGTCACCAACACATGAATAATTGAGACAAAGATGGTTGGCTACATTAATCAAATTGGAACCTCGCATGTGAATCCACAGTGCAGCCCAAGGTCCTCTACAAGGTTCACATGTAGCTAAAAAGGGTTAAAAAGTTGGTTCCTACACCTGCAAATAGTGAGAAAAACTAATAACGTTTTCCAGCTAAAGGAAATCAAGCTACAAACAAGAAAACCTCCCACTGCATCTTTAACAAGTTGAGGAGTCCATGTAAGTAAGTTCATTCATGGCTTGGTTGAAGTATTTGTTGATGGTTGAATTATTGATTGCTCATTGACTTGTGTTGGAGTGCATGATAGTAGATATACACATTATTCTGGAGTGCATGTTGGAATATTTAAGTGTAACACTCGGAGAGAGATAGACCATATTCGATTAACATTCTTATATTCAATTATATAATAATTATCATTTCTACTTAATTTATCTATTATAATAACAAGCGTATTTTGGTCATTACACTAAAAAAAAAACTATTATTCAACCTTTTTTATATTCACTTTTACCAATCACATCAGTTGTAATAAATTCTCTCAAATCTCTTCAAATCTATTATCGTTCCCTCAATCTAACCAACCCCACAATCCACTCTAAATCACCTCAAATCCACTCTTACAAATCTCCACCATGATCCAAACACAAGCATAATGTGGGTCGGGCTCAAATAAAAAATAAAATGAACAATTTTTAAGTTATTTATTTTTTTAATTAAATATGAAATATTTTGTAATAAATAATAATTTACTATCATTATTTTATTTTAGCACTTAAATTTTTATTTATTTTGTATATTTTTAGATTAACTATATACTATCCTTTAATATTTTTGCACATATTTTAACTTTTTTTTTAACGAAATTAGGTAATGACAATAAAAGATCTATCTCATATAGAACAAAGTTTATTATCAATAAGTTTTAAGGGAGAATTAAACAATAACATTTTTTGGCCCACAAGGAATTATTTCCTCAAGATTTTATTATTATGGAATTTTTTCACTTTTTCTTTGTACATTTGAGTTCTGGTAGGCCTGGAGACGAATCTCATCTAGCTCCTATAACTTAAGCTTCCTCTATGAATTAGTCTAGTTAAGTGTCAAGTTACAAATTTTTATTACTAAATAAGCACAATGCTCATTCTCCACAAATGTGACATGTTAAATCAAACACAACATGAAATGGGGGACATTCTTAATGGTGTATGATAAGTTGTCTTACTCTAATCTTTCTTATTAGGGCAAACCATTTTATGTAAAATCATCTTAATTTCTTTACTAAAAACCTCAATTTCCCTATTAGTCTGAGGTGATATGGTATAAATGTTGTAAAAACTGACAGAGACACGAACAAACTTTATTCCTGAGGCGTGTATAAACACTGCCCTTAAGGACTTATCCGCGGTGTATTGCGCAAGTCCCCCAGGATACAACAGGAATTTCTTGGGATATCCGAGGATCTCAGAAACTAGCAAGAAACTCTCAAAAGAGTAAATTAACCCAGGAACACAGAAAAGATCAGAGAAGAGAAGATGAGAGAGGTGTGTTCTGAAGAGTGTGAAGTGGTCTCTATTTATAAGAGAAAGTTTGTAACAGTTATGAAAGACTTGGTAGTGAGTCTGTAACGTTTCCTATAACGTTCTTTGTAACGTTCTCTGAAACGGTCTTTTGCAACGTGTGCTCTGAAACAGTCTTCTGCAACGTGTGCTCTGAAACAGTCTTCTGTAACGTGTGCTCTATTTTGCAATACCCCTTAATTTACAACAATCCCCCACATATTGCAAAACAAAAGGGGATAAAAGAAATAAAAGAAGAAAATACTGGGTCTCATATAAGATGTAATGCATCAGAGCTGGTATAGCAAGCTATATGAACCAGTCTTAGACTAAAAAACTTAACACACAGTGTAGTTGGTGTAGCAAGCTATATGAACCAAAACACTTAATGTGTGTTAGCGGTTTTAATAATCACAATACACCCCCACAATTCTTGCTGTTATCGCTGTGTTGCGCTTACTAGGCCATGCGCGTGCCCGGTATTCATGAGTGCTCTAGAAATCTTGCAAAGATCTCATACAAGCGGCCCCACTTGACACTCATATAGGTGACTTCATCAAGCGTATGCTACAAATCATACACCACCCTTAAGGGATATGAAATCGTTTAAAACTTTGTTTAGACTAAAATTCGTACTCCACATAGAATTTTAATTACAAAGTTTAACCTCTCAATAATGCAGTATCTAGCACTTTCACATATACACCATAGGAATGAACATAATTGATTTTAATCAATTTTAGTGCTAGCAGAACTAACAAGTGACTTGTTTTTACCCATATGAACCTTATTCATGGGATCTCCAATCACAAAGGTTGGGTTACAATCACCTGTTTGTTTGCAAGTTGCTTAAGGCCCATTCCCCTCGATGTTTCTAAAATCATATTTCTCGCTAAGGGTTTTGTCAGAGGATCTGCTAGATTCCGTTCTGACTTCACATAGTCAATGGAGATTGTTCCATTCTTTAGCAGCTGCTTCACTAAATTATGTCTCAACTGTATATGTCTGTTTTTTCCATTGTAGTTCTTATTTTTTGCTATAGCTATTGCCGATTGACAATCACAGTGTATTGATACAGACGGGATCTGTTTCATTCCTAATGGAATGTTTACTAAGAATTTTTTCAACCACTCAGCTTCACTACCAGCCATTTCGAGAGCAAAAAATTCAGATTCCATTGTTGATCTTGCAATAATTGTTTGTCTGGCTGATTTCCATGTAATCGCATCACCCCCGAGTGTGAATACATAGCCACTAGTGGATTTTGTCTCATCTGAATCAGAAATCCAGTTAGCATCACTGTATCCTTCTAGTACAGCGGGAAATCCACTATATTCAATGACATAATCCATTGAACCTCTTAAGTATCTCATAAGTCTTGTAAGTGCATTCCAATGTTCTTGATTAGGACATTGAGTGTACCTACTCAGTCTACCTACTGCATAAGCAATGTCAGGTCTAGAAAAGCTCATTAAATGTAGTAAGCTCCCAATTACCTGGGCATACTGAGGTTGAGAGATTGAGTCTTCTCTATTTTTCTTTAATTTAGAGTTAGCATCATAAGGGGTATTCACTGGTTTGGCGTTATAACACCCAAATTTCCTAAGAAGTTTCTCAATATATTGTTCTTGTGATAGAAAAATACTATCGCCCTTCCTTATGATTTTAACACCCAAAATCACATTGGCTTCACCCATATCCTTCATTTCAAATTTAGATACCAGAAACAACTTAGTTCTGGAGACAATGTCAATGCATGTACCAAATATTAGCATATTATCTACATATAAACATATAATGACACATTCACCACTCTCAAATTTAGAGTATACACATTTATCAGCATCATTAGTTGAAAAACCATTACAAAGTAGAACACTATCAAGTTTTTCATGCCATTGTTTTGGTGCTTGTTTTAATCCATATAAGGATTTTAAAAGTCTACATACTTTATTCTCTTGACCTGGAACAACACACCCTTCAGGTTAAGTCATATAAATTTCCTCCTCTAATTCACCATTCAAAAAGGTTGTCTTAACATCCATTTGGTGTATAACTAGTTTATGGATAGCTGCTAGAGCTGACAAAACTCGAATAGAGGAAATCCTAGTCACAGGGGCAAAGGTGTCAAAATAATCAATGTTGGATTTTTGAGTAAAACCCTTTGCTACTAATCTTGCCTTATATTTATCTATGGATCCATCAGAATGATACTTTTTCTTAAAGATCCACTTACACCCAATAGGTTTTGTTCCTTTAGGCAAATCTACCAAAGTCCAAGTATTATTTTTCTTAATTGAATCAATTCCAGTCTTAATGGCCTTATCCCAATGTATTGCATCAGGAGCCCTAGTAGTCTCTAAAAAACTCATTGGATCATTTTCAACTAGATAAGTGTAGAAATCATCTCCAAAGGAGGTTTCCTTCCTCTGTCTTTTACTTCTCCTCAAATCCTCATATATTTTGTCACTATTAATCTCTAAAGATTGTTTAAGTGTCTCACTAACGTTTAGAGGAAAATATGTTCAAAAAACTCAACATTTTTTGTCTCTACTATAGTATTATGCTCAATTACATCACTTTTGAGGACAAGAAACCTATAGGCAGCACTATGTTCTGCATAGCCTAAGAACATACAATCAGAAGTTTTAGAACCTATTTTCCTTTTCTTATGATTGGGTAACATTACCTTAGCTAGCACCCCACACTCTTAAATATTTTAGATTAAATTTATAACATCTTCATAACTCGTAGAGAGTTTTACCAGTTTTAAAAAAAACACACTGTAAGTGTATCTTCTCTTAGAGGTTATTTGGTGCACTAGAGTTCTTGATTAAGTATACTTTGGTTATCTAGGGTAATCATCTATAAATGTCACAGATCATATGAATCAATATTATAAGCACAAGAATAACATTCATTAACAACCAAGGGCTTTGGTCACACTATCTCTTTCTTACAAATACATTATTTTTTGTCATAACAATCTTATCAGATTCGAATGACACTTTAAGCCCAACTTTTCCAATAGTGCTACAGAGATTAGATTAGCTCTGATTAATGACACATGTAGCACATCATTCAAGACCAGAGTCTTTCCAAATGTGAGTTTTAGAAGAACTTTTCCTTTTCCTAAGACAGGAGTTGTCCTGGAATCACCGAGATAAATATGTTCTTCTCCATCCCCACACTAGTGTAGGAGGTAAAAGCACTTATGTTTACACAGATGTGCCTGGTAGCACCAGAGTCTACCACTCATTTGCTCACATTTGTCACAAGGTTTATTTGAGAAATGACCGCAATAATTGTATCTTCTCCCTCGGAAGGCTAAATTTGCCCTAGGAGGATTGTCGTTTCTCATTCTACGTCTGCACTGAGGTGCA